GGGGGGGGGGCGGGGCGGGGCCCGAGGGGCGGGGCGGCGGAAGCTCCCCCTCCCCCTCCCCCTCCCCCCTCCTGTCTCCTCCTCCTCCTCCCCCCCAGCGGGGCGCTGCCGGTCCAGCCGCCGCCGCTGCCGGGCTCAGGCCGGGCCGGACGCCGGACGCCGCGAACGCCCCAGCAGGTGCCCCGGAGCCCTCCTGCCCTCTCGGGCCCCCTCCCCGGGGCCCCCCTGCCCGGGCCCCCGCGCCTGCGATGAGCCCATGGCCTCGTCGCGGACGCCCGGCCGCGAGGAGGAGGAGGGGCCGGCGGCGGGGCCCGGGGCCGGCGGGGTTCGAGACGGCGATGGCGACCGCTCCCTGCAGCAGATGCTGCGGGCCATCGCGGAGGAGCGGAGGCGCCTCGGCCTCCGCCAGGAGATCAGCGGCCTCGGTGAGGGCTGGGGGCACGGGCGGATGGGCGCCTGGGGGGGGGGCAGCGGCGGTGCCCACCTGCAGGTGCGTCAGCCCCGCGGGAGGCGGAGGTGGGGGGGAGGGCGCCGCCGGCTTCCTAAAGCCCCCTCCCTCCGCGCCCCCCCCCCCGTCCGGGTCCCCCCGCCTGGGCCGGGACAGCAGCCCGCAAGGGGCCAGCCGTCTGGGGGCTGGGTGTGCAAGGAGCGCGCCCCCGGGTCCGGGTGCTTGGAGATCCCCGACGGCAGCTCCCGGGGCTCCCTGCGCGCTCGCTGCCTTTGTCTCCCGGGCTGGGGCGGGCGGGGTGGCCCCTGGGGCACTCTGTCGGAGTGCGGGGTCCCGGGCCCAGGGCACGACCTTTCTGGTGTGTCCGGGCGGGGATCGGTAGACAGGTGGGCAGGGGTGGCCCACCCTCTACCCATTGTTCCAGGTGCCCTTGGGATTAGAGGCGGGGGCGAAGTGCGGGAGGCGGGAGTCAGAAGAGGGAGATCTCCCCGCCTCCGGCCCGGCCTCTCACCTCCTCCGACACTTGGACGCTTTGTGAGTCAGACACCCCCTCCCACCCAGGTGAATGACTTCATCTTATTCCCAGCCGGGGGAGGAGGCTCAGCCTCTGTCCCGGGTTTAGACTGTCCGTCCCCCAGCTGGCATTTGGTAGGGGGGAATGGAAAGGATTTGTGGGAAACGAGCTGGTATCTCGGCTCCAGCTCTGCTGGGAGTCAGAGGCCCTGGTTTCCAATCCTTCCTCCCCTCCTGCCCGCCCGCCTGCCTGCCTGCCTGCCTGGGTGACCTCAGGCCCCTTCTCGGGCCTGCAGTTTCCTCCTCGGTGAAATGAGGGGCGTGGACTAGCTGGCCTTTCCAGTCCCTTCCCCATACCCCCAGGCCTGGACAAATCGGTGTCTTGTCTGAGCCCTGGAGGTGGGGACCCATGACCTCGTGGGAGATCTTGGGGCTTCTGCATTGCCTGCCCCCTAAGCAGGGGTTGTGGGGGACAGAGGCCCTGGGAAGCCTGGAAAGGAGAGCTCCTACTAGGGACCGTTGACATGGGGCCGGAGTTGTGAATAGTCCCAGGGCTTTTCTTGCAACCAGAGGGACACCTAGGCTCCCAGAGCCCTCCCAGCCCTCAGAAAAGCCAGGCAATCCCTTAGATTCTCCCCCCACCCTCAACATTGCTGTTCCTTGAGGAATTGATACCTCCTGGGCTGAGGGTGGGGCAGCAGAGAGCAGTCCCTGTTTCGAGGGGCAGGATACAGTCATTTATCTGTTATTTGAGCCTGGCTTAACAGTCCCTCTTAGCTCTCGTCTCTGGGGAATCCTTCCTTCTCTCTGAGCCTCAGTTTCTCCAGTAAAAGGGCCATTTCTCAGCCAGGCAGGATGGGTGTCAGGAGAACATCTTGGAACCTTAAAGTGATTGTGACAGAAACAAGAGCTCCTAGGATTATTCAGGGGGTGGAGCCCCATCCTAGAGCAGAGACCAGGATACCGGACCACAGCTCAGAGCTCAGAGCTGGCACTGCTGCCTAGGCACGTCCAGGCACAGCCAGGGATACCTTGTGTGGCCCCCAAGGAAATCCTAGGAGAGCTGGCCTACACAGCTGCCCCTGTCCTAGGTGCTAGCAGCTCTCTCTCCCAGGACAGGCCTGCCAGGCTGTCTGGTTCCTTGTCTCTGAATCTCCAGTGCCTGGCACATAGCAGACACTTCTTAAATGCTTGTGGGCCAGTCAGTCCACGAGAAGGCACTTAGGGAGGGAGGTCTGAGGACGAGGCAGGGGGGATTGGATCTAGACCATGGAAGATTTCAACAGCTGGCATGGCTCAGGGGATGTTGTGGGCAAAAGGGTGGCGGTGGGGAACGTGGTCAAATGTGAATCTTCTGTTTTGCTAAGACCTGGTGGGAAACAAGGCTTCAGAGTTAGGTCGGAGTTGCCCTGTGCCGGACTTTGACTGCCAGGGTCAGGGGTTAGGGAAGGCAGGAGTGAGTCAGTGAGGGGTATCGAGCGGATGAGTGATCAGCTGGACGTGAGCAGGGCCACGCTCTGTGCTCCCCGCTGAGTTACCTCTCCCTGTCGCTCTCCCACAGGAGAGGCTCTGGTCCCACAGGACCAGCTACCCTGTGGTCTCTTGACCTCCAGTTGCATAGGTGCCCCAAATGCCCCCTGCCTAAAACTGGCCTCTTTCTCTTTCGTCCGGCCCCCTCCCCTCTGTCTAACGCCTCCATGTGTGTGGTGTGGAGACGACGCCCCTGGAGTCGGAGCCAGCTCCTTTCCAACCTCGGGGGTGACCTCTGCCTTTCCCCTGTCACTTCCCCAAATACAGGCATTTAGCAAGTAGTCTCTGCAGCTGGCATGGCCATCCCTCTCTCTTCTCACTCAGTCAGCCAGGCGTTTATTAAATGCTTGCTGTGTGCCAGGTGCTGTGCTAAAATGCTGGGCTGCAAAGGAAGGCCAAAGACAGTCCCTGCCCTGAAGGAGCTCCCAGTCTGATGGGGCAGACAAGCATGGAGATAAGAACAGGTCATGTACTGGAATGGAGAGGGTTGGGAGGGGGCTTTCTGTGCAGGGCAGGGTGTCAGGAAACCAGACAAGGCAGGAGGCCAAGGTGAGGAGGGGCAGTGTTCCAGGCATGCCAGGAGCCCAGAGATGGAGGCTCTGGTTTTTGAAACAGCTGAGGCACCAGGACCAAAGAGATGTGGGATGAGGCAGGTGTAAGAAGACTGGAGAGGGGGAAGGGACAGGTTATGGAGGGCTCTGAATGCCAAGCAGAGGTTCTAGGGAGCTCTTGGATATTGGTTGGGGGTATAACATGGCAGACCTGGGCTTTAAGAGGGCACCACTGAGTACAGGGCAGAGAGGCTGAAGCAGGCAGACCCCCCAGCAGCCACTGAAGTAATCTAGGAGTGAGGGCAGGGTCAGAGGAGCCAAGCAAGTGTATTCATGAAAGTAAAATCGATAAGTGTTGGCACCAGATTGGGCAAGGGGAGGGTGAGGGATGAGAGAGAGGGAGCAGTCCAGGATGACTCCTAGGGTGGGAACCTGGCAGGTGGGGCTCAACAGTTATAGGGAAGGTAGGAAAGGGGGACAGTTGGGGTAAAGAGAATGAGTTCTCTTTTGGACCCAGTGAGTTTCAGGTGCCTACTGGACATCTGGTTGGAGATGTCTGAGGCTGTTGGAGATGAGAGTGGAGGTCAGCAGAGTCTGGGGCAGGATGGGTAGAGCTGAGCATGGTCATTGAGAGCTGGTGAGACCTCCGAGTGGACGGAGAAGACTGAGGGCCCAGGCTGCACCCTGAAGGACAGCTGAGGTCAAAGGGCATGACCTGGAGGCTCCAGTCCTAAGACAGAGAAGGAGCGGTCAGAGAGGGAGGGGGAGAACCAGGAGAGCCGAGCATGATGAGAACACAAAGGGAAGAGGGGGAATGATGGTGTCCTGGCTGCAGAGTCCGGGGAGAATGGGGATCGAGAAGAACTGTTGGCGACTTTGGGGAGGGCAGTTTGGGGGGAATGGAGGCTGAAGCAGATTGTAAAGGGCTCAGAGAGACGGGCAGCGGTGGCGGCTTGGATTGTCGAGGCCTTTCATGAGTGGTCTTGCCACAGACGGGGGAGGATGCAGCCGGACCAAGACGGGGAACCTTCGCTGGAGCTCCCTGGGCCGTCCTGGTCCACAAAAGAGAGCCCCTGCTTTTGGGGTAGAGGAAAGCAGTGAAGCAAGGGGACAGGAGGTCTGCCTTGGAACAAGAAGAGCAGGGTTTGAGGCCTGTCTCTGCCATGGTGGGACCCCAGACGAGGCACTTAACTGTTGGCACCCCAGGGAGCTCTCAGATGCTTTAGCAGGGAGGTGCCAGTCTGCATTGGCAGAGGGGTTCTGACATCCCGAGCTGCCCGCACCTGTGAGAGATGGTGAGCTAGAGAAAGTCTTGGTGAAGCCCTTCTCATGGGCTGCCCAGGCTAAGAGCTGGAGCAGAGAGAGAGAAAGGGCAGACCCCCAGGGAGTGAGGGGAGCAAATGGCCAGGGAGCTGGGGCAGAGCCAGGCCCGAGGGAGAGGCTGGCCTGGGCACTTCTGCGCGGGAGGTTCTGGCCAGGAATGAAATCCCTGCTCCAGACCAATCCAGTCCCTTCCCAAGTGCCTTCCCATTCTTTCTCTCCCCTCAGCTCATGATCCGGCAGTGATGGTGATGATCCGTCTTAGACAGATGGAGAAACTTGAGACCCAGACTAATTTGCCTGTATTCATGCAGGGAGTCAGGGCCGCAACTGAATCTCCCGAAGCTCCCATCTAGTCTTTGTGTGAGCTGGGATTCGAATCCAGGTCTTAGGACCCTTCCCTAGGGTCCCTTCTGGTCCCCCACTCCCTGGCGGCCTGCCTTGCAGGGAGCATGACAGGTGGGCACCTCCCCTCTGCGCTGATGCATAGTCTGGCCTTGTGGGTCCCATTGGCTCCGAGCAGAAGCTCGCCTCCCCTGGGGCTCAGTCCCCCTTCCCCTGCCTCAAACTTCAGGACCTGGGGTGGGGCCTCCCCTCCCCCCCCGACTTTCCTCATATTTCCTTGGTCCTCCCTTACCTAGGGGGGCAGATGGGTGGCACTGTGGAGTCAGAAGGCATGAAGGAAAAAGCATTGGTTAAGTGCCTACTGTGTGCCACGCAGGGCACGGGGACAGTACACTCAGCCAGTCTGGGCTCCTCCTCCAGGGGCTCCAGTTCTATGGGGAGATGGCAGTGCCAGGAGGCTCCCAGGTCAGGGTGCTCTAGCTGCTTCATCCCCAGGGCAGTGCCCCAAGCCCCGTAGTTCTGTGGCTATCACTTCCTTTGCAGGGGCCTCAGGAGCTGCGGCAGCTGGGGAGGCTGGGATAGGGCCGCGGCACCTGCGGAGGAAGTGGGTTAGCGGTCGATGGTGGCGGCGGTGGCAAGGATGGGGTCGCGATGGTGGCACTTTCTCCGTAGATGACGGTTACGGGTCCTGGGCTGGAAGCAAGCGTGGAGGTCTTGG